ACGAGAATGTTTTTAATTGCTTTCTATTCTTTCTGTCTATCTTCTTTTAGTTCTTTTTGCTTTTTTTCTTTCTTTTCTTTTTTTCTCTTTCTTTCCTTTCATTTGTGTATGTGTTGTTGGTTTGTTTTAATTGTAAAATTAATAAAATTTATTTATTAAAAAAAAAAAGAAAGGTGTGGGGTTGGAGGAGGAGGATGACTGTGGGGTCCTTGATGCGCTCTGAGTTTGCTTGTTTTCTTGTAGACGTTGCATTACCCAACTAGGTAACATCATCAGCGCTAGGAAGGAGTGGGATTTGAGGAGAGGAGGAGGAAGGAAAGAAGGGAAAAAAATTACAACCATCTCACTGCATTTTTAAATGCTCATCACTTTCCTTCTCTCCTTCCCCGTCTCTTATCTCCCTTTTGGTGGGGTGAGGGAAGGAATTTGTCTGCTAGTTTTTTTTAAAAAAAAAAGAAAAGAAAAGAAAAGCAGAGAAAGAGTCCGGTCTACAGAGCTTCATAAAAATGATAAATTGCTTTTAGATATTGGGCAGAAGAGAAAGAGAGTCCTTTTTTATTTGACAATATTAGTCTCTTAGTAGTGTATTGTTGCCATGCATATGAGCTTAAATTCTCCAGGCAGCTGGAGCCAAATATCCGTGTATTGAAGTGTAAATGAACTGCTGGCAAAGCTTTCTTTTTTTTCCCCTTTCCCCTTTATGATTTTTCATACTTTTTTTTTTAAAAAAAATTGTTTTTCCACTGATATTATATACGGCAAATCTCTCCTCCCTCCCTTCTCCCCAGTATCTGCGCCGTGCCCACAGAAATGTGAAATCCCCTACATGATATGCTAATCATTTCTAATCAAATCAGTAACTTGGAAGAATGCAAAAATACGAGAGGAATCGCCCTCTCTCTTGCAACCCACACAGAGTCCTTCGGGGGGGAGGTGAAAAACACCCCCTTATCCCCCCACCCACTCAGATTTGCAAGGTGCATTAACGGCAATATTTTAAAAACATCACCTCTCAACGCAGATGGAAAAATTAGCCACAGCTAATGATGAGAGATAGTGCAGCTTTGCTTTTTTTTCATCCTTCCTTAGTTCTTCAATCCATACTTCCATGCTGAGTTCAGCCATCAACATAGCAATAGCCCTTAGACTTATATACTGCTTTACAGAAACTGAACAACCACGTTACTAAATTTTAACAACTGTAGTGATTCCCTTAATGACCGGGACAAGGAAGGTCATAAGGTAGGGCAAAACTCGCTTTCCCAAAGTTTCACTTAACCACAGTGATTTTAGGCTAGAATAGAATAGAATAGAATAGAATAGAATAGAATAGAATAGAATAGAATAGAATAGAATAGAA